GAGGACTTTATCTAAACTCTGCCTGTCCAGTTAGCAGGGAATCAGATTAGCATCTGCTACCTTAGTTAGAGAAATTCAGTCCCCTTTGTTTTCTGGTAACTTGCATTGGGTCTACACTTGACTGCTAAGATTTAAATACCCCAAATTCTAGGGGCTTACAAAGGCAACTCCGTCACTCTCTTTTTTTGTAGTTTTTACTGCCAAGTAAGGAATTTCAGATAAAATGTTCTTTGGAGAAAGGCTTCTTAACTTTATTCCACTCATACTGTGTCCCTGAAGGGCATGAACGGAAGTGGCTGTTCCTTGTCATGTAGGAGCACATTAACAACTAATCAGAAAAGCACCTTTTGATAATGGGACTCCATCTCTGCCGTTGACCCTTTGGGTTTTACTGTGATGGGCTGAATGAGGCCGACTGCCTGTCAGGGGAAGGATTTCTTGGGTACCTTATCAGAATTTTCTTTTCATTTTTTCTTATCTAAAGTAAGTTGCCTATTAACTGCCCCTGAACCATTTTCTTTGGCTTAACAGAAGTGATTCACTAGGCAGAGAGTCTGAAACCTGAGAGATTTTCACTCAGGATCCTTCGACTCCCTCTGCCCCCAGCTGCTACCTCTCTTCCCCAAACCCTTCTGAAGGCAGGGAGCTGGCAGCCTCCTCTAGCTCCTATCTCTTCATCCCTCTTCTTTATTATTATTTTTTTTAAGACAGAGTCTCACGGTGTCACCCATGTATCATCCTGGACTCATATGATCCTCCTACCACAGCATCCGGAGTAGCTGGGACTATAGGTGCCCACCACCACACTTGGCTAATTTTTCTATTTTTAGCTGAGACGAGGTCTGGCTTTTTCTCAGGCTGGTCTTGAACTCCTGAGCTCAAGCAATCCGCCTGTCTAGGCTTTCCAGGGTGCTAGGATTACAGGCGTGAGCCACTGTGCCTGGCCTCCCTCCCTCTTTATTTCCTTCAGTGCACTTTCAAGTTTGGACAGTACTTTTTGTATTTAATTTTATTTAATTAATTTTATTTTATCTTTTGCTTGTTGTCTGTCTTTGCTGATAGACTACAAACTGTTTAAAATCAGGGAGCTTTTGTCTTTTTCACTGCCTACCCCGATCCCTAGAATAATACCTGGTATATAGTGGAAACTAAAAAAAAA